AATTGCTTTGACTACTATATTAAATTATTTGAGGGAAAAGCTGAAAAATTGCTTACTTTGGAAAAACTGTTACCTCATTTTTATCAGTTACAGACCCAATCACCTCATAAGTTTTCAAAACAGAAGTAAATATATACAAATACAGAAAGACAGATAAAACTGTCATCACAACATACACAACAGTCACTGTATTTTCTTTTTGTTTCTTTGTGTTTGTATAGGAGCAACCCCAAACCTACCTTTTGTTTCCCTTAGCTGAGTAGTTTGGAAATATGGCACAAAAAGCCATTTAGTATCGTTCATTGTGAGCAGACTGCTATTCTGAGGAGTGATCCCTGCCACAGGAGCTTACAATGTACACTGCTGCTCCCACAGCTACCTCCATCCATGCACACAATCAGCTGTAATACTGGGCTTCAAAAGACAAAGCAGAGCATCTTCAATGCTTTTCCTTCAGCTCTAGTTATCCCTTGCTGTGAGTAGGACAGAGCCTGCAGAACTGGTGGCCTGTTGCAGAGCAAAGGGAAGGGCCAGCAGCCAATTGCTGGTGACATGGCAAGCCAGCGGCCCAGCAGGTTCCCTTCTGTCAGTAACTGCTGAGCTCCTATACACCTTAGCCCAATCCAGGTTTCTTTGACCGCATCTAACCTGATGCATACACTCTCATTTATCATTTGCTGTAGAGCAGATTCCTGTGCAATGCAGGGAGTATTTCTAAAGGACCTAAGGATTTAAAAGAGGGCAAGCAAGGGCATGACTTTACCACACGCTAGCTGCTCTGTGATAACCACATATATGCTTACCCCGTGATAAAGGAGTTCATGACATACACTTCCACTGAGAAATAAACTCCCTTTAGTTACTTTGCTTCTACCATGTGCAGAAGCACGTGGCTGGGCTTTTACCAAGCAGCGGCTGGTAAGAATTTACCTGCTCTCCTGTACTGGCTTGTCTGGGTGTCCATTCCACAGCAGCTCACAGACTGATCCCACTGTAGTGGTAATGGATAGAACAGTCCAGCTCACAAAGCAGATGTGCTGTCTTGCAAACTCAAACCTTGACAAAGACACTAAGTTCCTACATTTAACTGACTGCAGCTACAGTGGCCCTTTACCTGCCCCTCCACCTTCTTTAGAAGAGGTCATCAGAGTGCAAACAAAGGAAAGGACTGAGTGGCAGACTGCTCTGCTCCTGCCATCCCCCACCTCTCTTCTGCTCCATAAAGGCCCAACAGGTCCAAAGATATGGACTTCACACAGTCATAGTCCAGTAAGAACATCCCAGCAGACAAAGCCTGCTGACACCAGGGCAACTCATGAGAGAAAGGCTCTTCATGACCAGCCAGGGGATCTGAAAACTGCCTGCGGAGCAAAGGGGTGACCCACTAGCACCTCCAGAAAGGCTGCCTGCCCACAGGCAAAATCACCTAATAGCTAAGAGAAGCCTTGGGCCAGGACACGCTAACACTCCAGCATCAGAGGTTAATCCCTGAGCGAATGAGGCTGTCAGCACTCTGCAGAGGTGCTAATCCATGACTGGGTGCCTGATGCAGCCTGGTAACACCTCTTGCACGTGGCTCCTCCTTCACCAGGTGGGTGCTGAGGCTGGGTGAAGTCCAGAGAAGGATGCTTTATCTCAATAGTTTATAGGTTTAGCCACTTCCAGTACATGAAGAAACCAAAGGCTTACTGTTTCGGGCAGCAGAGCTTACTCTTATAAGAAGTTAAATCATAAACAGATCTGCGGATGCACAGTGCCAACAGAGAGAGAAACAAATACCATAGTCTGCACTGGAATCCTCTGAGTCCTGATAATTTGTATAATCTAAAATGTTCTCCTGGCCACCTCACACCATGCTCAAGGCTCCAAGAGGAGCCAGAAAGCCACTGCTCCAATGGCTCTGAGCACTACTGCCTGGACAGGACTGTTCACTACACAGTAAAAAGCACCACAGCAATGATCATCCCGAGTGGTGTTTGTGCAACTGGCAATGATGCCTCTGAACTGATGTTCATGCTTGTCCCCCAGCAAACTGCCTGCAGTGTAAAGGATGATATTACATGCCTGAACTACAGCTGCAATACCAGTGATGTCTGTGTCTGATTTCAAGCCCCCAAGATCTGTATATACAGAACTTTCACCTAAACATAAATCACATACATACACCTTTGGCTAGTGAGAAAGCCAGCCCTGAACCCACACCTTAACAGGATGCTTTAATCAGAGAGGGGATCTTTACTAGATCATTTCTTTAGTGCTAAACCATCTTCTGGCATTAACAATTATTTTTTCCCCAGACACTGCAGGATCCTAAAGTTTTTCATAATTTTATCCAAGAAAAGATAAGCCCATATACAGTAGGAAACAGCTCTCCCTCTCTTAAGACTTCAGTAAATGGACTGAGAAAACTCCTGAAAAGCTTTACCAGTCCCAGAGAGGTCACTGCTCATTGTGGATGACCACTTCTGCTCCTTGCTCAGACTTCTGGCTACTATTGCCACAAGTGCAATCAAAATGCACAGCTGAGTTGTACCCCAATACTATCCTCCAGAACCATCTGGCCCAAATTATATTATCGAAGCAGAGGATGTTACTACATTCACCCTTTATTGAATCCTGGGAAAAGCGCTTTGAGATCAGCCTCAGACTATTTTACTAGCTCTCCTCAACCTTGCTGAAAAAGCCTCCAAATTACAAAGTTAATTGGCAGCACATTGTTACCATATGTGGTGTGCAAGAGAAGCACTGAAGTTTATTTAGACATCAGAACCAAAGAAGAGTGGAATATTACTGCTCTTTATGAGGATTTCATGTTGGCCTTGATTACTAAGGCATCCCCAGCCTTGATCCTCCTGTGTGCAGGCTGCCCAACATACCACAGCACACTGCAGCACGGGGGCACCAATCTGCCTCCAACCCGATTTCCCAGGAGAAACTCAGGACACATCCTGTTCGCTGTGCTTTTGCTTACTAGACCTCAGCATTTTCTGTTGCCATGTTTGTATGCTTCTTTCTTGAGAAAAGTTTTCCAGGCTGTCTCTCCTCCCTAAAGCACATCCCTGAGTCCAACCAGCTACGGCTTCAGGTCACACTGGCTTATGGAGCAATTATTGCCCTGACTGCCTCACTTGTCTGCCAGGATCTCTCGCAAATCTTAAATGAAAGTTGGATTCTTGGTCTATAGGCTCTGATTTCCACTCTTCCCATTTAAACTCTGAGTGAAGAAAGGTCTGTAGCAAATTTGTATCACCAGGGTCTTAGACTCTTCTCTTTTCACACTGGCAGCAGTAGCTCCTCTTGGAGCCTTTGCACTTCCAAAGCTGTAAGCTTTGCACTGATGGAGAGGCATTCACAAAAGTGTGAAGTCCCTGCAGCTCCATGACAGCAGTCCATAGCTGATGTCTGCTACCCACAGGCTAGAAACATTCTCTCTTGTTTTTAAACTATGAGAGAATCCCTTGCACAGACTTCCAAGGGTATACTGATGTCCCAGCCCCACACATGCACCTGCAGAGCTCCTGTTGCCCCATCTGAAAGAATGAACTACAATTCACACAATCTAGCAGGGGTCATGGGCAAAGACTGCTTGCCTTAAAGCTCCATAAACTATTTTTAAATGCTCAAATGGACTTTTGTGAAGTGAAACATCAGGTTTCAATTAAGATGCCTTCGTTTCCCAATCTGATGTGTGTTAAACAACCTATCAAAACCTCATAAACTTCAGTTCACAGCATTTTCATTTCCGGTTTCTCTCTTCTCTCAGTTTAAGTAATAACTTGTGCATTAAAATAGTATGTTTAAAAATAAAAACAAATCTAGAGAAAAATAAAGGCAAAAGTCTGATGATTTCTATGCTTTACTGGGACAGCAGTCCTGATTTTCTGGAAGCAAACCAAGACCACATCATTCTAAGGGTAAGTTCTGGAGAATGCAGAGAGGTGAAGTAAGTCAGTTCCTAGCTGATGGGAATATTTGCAGTAAGATACTTTCAGTGCATAGCACAAAAATCCGGTGCTTCTAGAACCCCATTACAGCTTCTGTACATATAGATGCAGCAGTGAATTTTACAAAAGGCCCATTCCATGTGGCTGAATCTGTCTGCACATCTTACATGTCACATTTTAAGAAGGGAATGTCTTACCTTCAGGCACCTACTCATCTGACCTGCACAAAACAAGCATCTATAATATTTCTGAAGCCTTCATGATATAATTAGAGCATGGAAAATGAGGCACTATTCTGTCTAGTCCAAATCCATGCTGCTACATGGCAAATATTCTGCACTGACAGCAATGGAAGGACAGTGCCAGGGGCAGAGCAAGCAGACCTTGTCCAGCAAAAGTGCTTCTCTCTGGGTTTGTCAGCTGTGCTAATGTGCCCAAATATGTCACGTGTGGCCTCTATCAACAATTATATCACATGTGTACATGAGCAATTTACCCACCCAAGTAATACTTACTCTAATGGTTGATAGATTACGTAGAGCAAATATAAATAGGTTCTGAAGAAAGTGTTGCAATGTGAGATAATCCAGAAAACCCAAGTCACCACCTACTCCACACTAACACTCCAAAAAGCTGCACTGGGGGTGAGAGATACATGAATGACCATGAAAGTATTTTGCTAATAACTATGACCTAAAACTGTGGTTTGCATTATTTTCTTTGGTGAGCTTAAACATCTAAAACTTGTTGCTGCAAAATCAGAATTTCTTACCAAAGGCCTCATAAAACAAACCTTTACCCTCTTCTACTATAAGCATGGGATGTCAAGGCACTGCTGAAGTGCTGATGATCCCCCTCAAAATCCTCAGATCAGGAAGGATCTTGCCTTGATCTGCAGGGGGCTGAGTGCAGCCACTATAACAGAGCCAAACCCCCTTCTTCTCTTCAATGTCCAACAGCAAAGGCCCAAAGAAAAAAATAAGAAAGTGTAAGTCTACTCTGCTGCTTGGTCTCTCATCCTTCCCTGTGGTTTTGCTTCCTTTGCTTTATACCTACCCCTCTGCCCATGAGGCCATTGTTGAAAGGCAGACCAATGAAGCTGAAAGCTGCCTCCTGGATGAAGTAGGGATTCAGGATACGTATCTCATGGGGTTCTCTTGGGACACGGGTTGCCACTGACTTCCAAAAGCCATCAGAGGCACTCTGGTAACAACAAAAAAAGAGAAAAGAAAATGAAATACAAAACAACAAACAACAATTATATACAAAATACAGCAGATTTCTATTATTTTATAGTAAAATAATTGAAAATGCATTACTGGCAGCAGTACCCACTGTCCCTGCTCACTGCCACAATGCACTAGTATGAGGTTGCAGGGGAGCTGTGCATCTTGGAGTTGTGACAGCAGCATGGACTGATGTACTTGAGCTAGTCTGGATGGCAAGTGAAGACAGACAGACCTGCGTTTCAGCATGAATGACCCTCTCCCTGGTGTAATCTTTTCACTCTTACTGGCACTTCAGCTGTTTTGGTCAATACTAGCCTCGACTGCTGCTGCCCTGTTAGACAGCCCTGCCTGGAAAGGGGCTCATGCTGCTCTGCCACACAGCTTCATATCGTTGCTCCTGCTGGTCCAGATGTTAGCAGGTATAGCATGGAGTGCCCCCCAGATAACTCCGTGTTCACAGGACTTACAGAACAATTGTGTTCTAATGCTTCACTTCTGTTTGGGTTAATTCAGAGCAAGGCACAGGGAGGATAGCAGGAATTTTAATCTGCTAACCAGCAGCCTGGGCAGGGTAATCTGATTGAACGCCTCCTTCTCCTTGAAGCATTGAGCCATCTTCCTTGTGATCTCCATGACAAGCAACAGAGACAGACATTACACTCTACAAAAAAAGCATGTGCTTTGGAATTATTATTTACACCAGTTTCTTGTTGCTTGCAGCTTAACAGTGACTTTCACAGTTGCTTTCAAGGCACTGCTGAAAATGTTGCTGATCTGCTGTGAAACCCTCAGGAGCTTCCCCTGCCCAGTAGGAATCACCCCTGTAATTATCAACAGGAATACAGCTGCAGCTGATGCCTGCTGCATTTCACACACTCCTTGTACTGCACTTGGCTCCTGTGAACTCTCACACCACGTGTTGCTAAACACCTCACAGAGGGGTTTTTTATGGACCAATCCCATGGATATCTTTAGCTGCTGAATTTCATATCCTGAAAATGAAACTTTGGCAGATGGCTCATGTTACAAAAGGCAGCAACACAGCGAATTCAAGGAGGATGCACACAGTCACCCATACCAACAGTCTAAGAAAGCCAAATCCCATTGCTATCCTGTGCTCCCTCCAAACTGCCCAAACATAATATGCTTTTGATGACCAGGGCAAGCATCCCATGAGTTTAAGTATGCATTTTGACAATGGTAAAGTGCTCTCAGGACCATAAATGGAAAAAATTCCTAATTAATACTCACGTTCTTTCATCATAGTTGAATGAGAAAGAATGCCTGGTGCCAAAGCAGCCTAACACTTTCCATTATAAGATATTTTCAGCCACTGACTGATCCCAGCATTTAACAAAACAGAGAAAAACTTTATAAATGTTAATAAAGTCCAACATCTATTTGACCAAGGGATTTGAGGGATTTGGTATGTGAGCTGAGTTTTGCCTCCTTGTGAAAATTCATTTAAAAATGGATAAATATTAAACCTTTGGAATTTCCTAAAGGCACGTGTAAAGTAGAGGTCTTTCAGTTCCAGGGAAGGAGGGAAAAAAATTAAATAAAGCCACAGATTCCACTTGCATTAAGCATGCTCCAGGTCTCACAGAAATTAAGATGATAAGCAAAAAACTTGAACAGCTACTCATTCAGCGAAACCACCTTATCATAGGCTTAAACAGGCACACCCTGGAAAAATAGTGTGTGACCTTGAAACTAAAATAAATTTATAAGTTCAATTACTATTTCACATGCAACTCTAAATATGGCATTGCCTAAATTTTGAAAACAATGCAAACCAAAGCTCTGCAAGCTATTTAAAGTGGAGAAAAGACATCTTTTGTTTGCACTGACACTCCACAGGAGATTCTAGGTAAGTTCTGGGACTTCAGCAGGTTTTACATGGTTTTTACGTAACTCACAAAACATTAAAGAGAAAGGAAAAAGAAGAAAGATTACAAATATTTGAGACTTTTATTCCTTGCTCCTGCTGGAGCTGTTCAGAAAGAGATGGCTACACATACCACAGTTGCCCCTTTTCCCAGTGCTGTGTGAACCGCAAGGAGTATACCTGGGGTCCCCTCAGCTCCTCCAATGCCAGTGCAAAACAAATGTAGGTCCCTACTCCTAGCTGGAAATACAGCCTGTCTGCTTTGGTCCCTTCTATATGGCTCTTTTTCATGCTGTTCATCCCAACAATTTCCCTAAGCATTTCCCTCAGCTATCACACTGCTCTGAAATTGCTCTGGCTTCTCCCTTCTATCTCATTTCTATTTGCTCTGGGTTCTTCCCTGCAATTTTTCTGGACAGTTTCTCTGAGATTATTATTGAGGGACATCTGGGGTAATCTTTCCTTTTTGTGTATTTTCCTGCTGTAGTTCCTAAAACAATTGCAAGGAGAAACGTGTAGTCTCAGCAGAGAGCTCTCATTCTTCCACCTACACAGTAGGCAAAGCACTGTACATGGCTAAAGAAGCAAAGACTGCTTTCCTGGCTTTTCATTACTGAAATTCTCAGCCTTGTGGTTTGGCTCTCCAAGCCCTGTAGTTTTGAGCTACATCTCAAGCCCTGTGGTTTTGTTCTGCAGCTTGTCACTGGCAAGCTACAAAACGCAGCACCAGCACACTGCAAGCCCCGGGAGGCTGCTCCCCTGACACAAGCCAGCGCTGGGCGCACAGCCCGTCCAAGGCTCCGCGCTCTGCTGATGTGCGCCCGCCGCTGCGCCTGGCGTGTGTTCCGTCTGATCGGACCCAGATGTTCAGCGAGGTTTCCAAAGCAATTACTTCCTGTCGGGGAATGATGTCCCTTTTTAGGCTGGGAGGAGACCAGCCACCGGAGGAGCAGCAGGCACTGGGAGGGAAGGTGTGTTTTTCCTGCCAGATTCGGGAGCTTGGACTTGCAGTTGGAGGTTGGGGGCATCCTCTGTTCTCCGCTACAGCGACTAAACCTGCAGTGCTTAAGGGTGGGTTTCTAAGGATGCAGTATCTCCCTTTCTGATTGGCATAATAATAAGCAGTCAGAAAATGAGTCTCAAAACTACTTAGGCAATGTTTCCACAGTGCCTCATCACTTCCTGGCATCAAGGTGGAAACCAGACGGTCCAGGCTGGAAACTGTGTATCCCCATTATTACTTGTTGGTATTACTATGCACCCGGAGTCTCAGCCACAAATCAGCATTCACAGTGCCAAGGGCTGCCAAAGAAAAGCTTACAGTATAAGCATAAAGAAACAAGCACCACAGCGAGAGAGGCAGAAAGAAGAATATGACTGAACAACAAGCTTATGAGGGCTACAGCATTTTTAAGCAATCTTGGAGTGTATTCAAAATTGTATCATTGTATAATTGCAAAGGACATCACTAATGGCTTTGGAGACTACTTTACAAGTACCAAAGAATTTCGATGGGCCAGGGCTTTCAAGCCAGTCTCTTAAACTATTCTTATCCAGTGAGAGAGGCAGAAAGAGACACCACCTCTAGAGACACCACTCCAGGAATAAACCACTACAGACATGACAGACCAAAGACGGCAGGTTATGAGCAAGGGATTAAATAAATGGCTCCAGGGACAAGACAATCCAGCTGCAATCCCTCATTTTGTCCATTTGCAGAATACTGAAAGGTAATAGGTACAGCCAGTTGTAAAGTATTTTTTGTCTCCATTCAGTTTTCCATCTGCTGTTCTTGGATTTACCAAGGTGAACCACAACATATGCTAAAATGAAATACGGATACTTGGAGCCTTAGCCAAGATGCACACCTCAGTGGAAGACAAACTATGAGAAGCAGGCTGTGTCTCCCAGAATAGCAACATTTCTAATATGCTGACCAAATTGAGGGGTAATGCCACTGCATCCTAACGACGCAGGTGCTGCCTCTCTTCTCTATCTCTGTGATGCTACTGGACTTAGGTGTACAGGCAGCATTGCTTTTGAAGATTTCTTAACTCTCATGGGAAGGAGACATGGAGGTTGCAAAGGCCATCTATGTGCAAAACAAAGCTGAATAAAGTCTGGGTATGAAATACTCTGCTGCAGAGCAACAAGAAAGATGAAGAGACTAGAGAGGGAACCTGTGGTAAATGGAGATCACTGCTCTTTCAAACACTGGTAATACCAGAAATAGAGAGGAAGAAGGACATAAGGAAAAGAAAAAGTCAGGGGATGATGTACCAGTCACAAGATCTCACCGTGCCTGGGAGCACATGGTTCACTGGAATCTCTGCCCCTACGGAGGCTGGAATGTGGTTTATTCTCTACCCGTCATCCACAAGCACTCACTGTCACACAAACACAGGGTATAGCAAAACTGCTGCCATACATCTGCAGAGGCTTTTGAAAGGTTTCTGCTCAGGCATAACTGAATTAGATGTGGAAGGCGTGCTTCCACTAGAAAATAACCATCTTATCAGCCAGCGCCGCATTTCTCAGCGGTCAAGTAGACACGGAGGCCTAGAAAATGCTCTTCTACAAGTGGCAATATAAATGAAGTTGCATCATTTGCACCGATTATCAAAGCAACAAGGAATTTTTAGCAATGAGAACAGAGGTGCTGAGAGCCTGCAGTCTGGGTTGATGGTCAACTGCCAGACCCACTAGCCCACACTTCAAACATATTTACCCAACTTTCTCAAAGCGATGGAGAACCCCTCACTACTCTCTGCACATGGCTCTGATGGCCAGCACTCATTCAGAATGATCCTATCTTCAGTTTCTAGAGTTTAGAAATGTTCTAGAGACTAGATCATTGTGCTCCACTCTTATCTGTCTCCCTGAAAAGCTCTTACACTGCCTGCAGACTGTGCTCAAGCCTTTCCTTCATCTGTCAAGAGAGATGCAGCTCTTGGACTATCCAACAACATGATACTTCTTATTTTTTATCATTGTTGATCCTTCTCTCCAAACATCCTCCCACCGACCAAATCTAAAATCAAACAGCTGTAATTTCCCAGGCTGTTCCCCTGTCAGTACTCCCCACC